AATAATCCAGCCCCTTGTCCCAGAGAACTTATCCAGACAAGATTACATCCTACAGTCCAATGTTTGGGGCTATTTAAAAAAAAAAAAAAAAAAAGAGGATTCAGTTGGGGAGATTCAAGAGCTAACGTCTTTCACTGAAGAGTCCATCCAGCACTCATCATTAGGTGACCACAACCCACAAAGAAGTTACAGATGGCACCAAGTTGATCACATCAGGGGGAGACAGACTCACTCTAAAAACAGTCTTCTCTGTGAGAGGCCCTGAGATGTTCCTGCTTTGAGCATTTTTTTTTTCACAGTTCAAAACAAAATACCATTAAAAAGCTGTTTATTTTCTACCTAAGCAGCTCGGAACACAGACACTGCTAATGAAGTCCAGCACTTGAGAATGTGGTGTGACACAGAGAAAAGCAGAGTCCCTCGCATCCTGCCTAAAGATGACACCCGGAACACTGTCGGCTGACATGTGGCTTACCAACCAGTGTGAGGCAAGACGTCAGGCACACATCCACAACAGAGGTCCTGTCTCACAGGAAAGAAGATCCTGGAGAGTAAGGAGGATAATATAATTAAAAAGCTGGGACACTGTATAACTCAGAGATATGTCAGTTGGGTAGCACGTTGCCAGGACTTAGGATCTTTTCTTTTTTCTCTAAAAGCCCTGTGAGTAGAGTGAGAAGAAAGCCTGAAGAACTAAGATTCACCCCACCAGGCATTAACGGTGTCCAGAAACTATGTGAACAATCTCACTCGACATCCTTAAGACATTTATATCTGTCTGATACAGAACCAGAGGGGGAACATGTTAATTTTCTCAGCCTGCAGATAACACACATACAGAATCTCACAGGCCCGCAAAAAGCTCCCCATATTCTCTAGGGCTCCCACTGCCTTAAAATATAGACTTGCATTTATCTTGGCCACATTAACGAGGTCTGTTTGACCAATACATTTATATTTATGATGACTGAGGGCAGATTATGGTTGTTAAAACTTGTCCTCGGGACATGAAAACACTCCTCTGTCATTAATACATTTGCTAATATAAACTATGATGTCAGGTCAACGTAAAGGGTAAAAATGTTCCTAAAGTACGCGCACATCATTTTTTAAAGCAATTGAGCCTAATGGAATAGCAAAGGTCATCATAACAAACCATTACAGTCTTCGTCTTGGCTACGCCGGCCACAGAAGAACCTCCAAGAAACCGTCATCATTCCTCCAATGTTATGGCATCCAGACGACAGGGATGGCTCACAAGTGAGTCATCCGGGCTCAGATCCGCAGTAGCTATGTGAGTGCAGCACAATCAATTATTCATGTGTTTACAGAGAGCTTTCCTGGTTGATGTTAACCAGAGCTGCTTGCAAAGGACAGCTCTCCAGCTGTCCTCAGCCATCCCGGGCCTCCAACTAACAAGTCACTTTAATTGCTGGAGAAGCCATCTGGAAGGTGAGCCTCCCCAGCCCAGGCCCTGAGACTTTATTAGGTGCAAAAATATTAATCAGGGATAATTATGACAATACTTTATATACAGGACTCTCAGAAAAATCCTAAAGAGGGTGAGAGAAGGTAGACTTGACCCAGAACCCATTAGGCTCAATGGGGATGGACTATTGAGGACCCGGGTCAGGGATGCATGGAGAGCAAGAGAAGAGAATGAAGGGGAAGACTCGGAGGCTGTGAGCTCCAGTGCAGAATGCTGTGTGAAGGCTAAGGCACATGACTGAGGACCACCAAGGGTGAATGCTTTAGATTGGTCAATAGCCAAATTGACCCACCCATCCAAAATGGCCTCAGGAGAAGGTGGATGGGAAACAGGACCCACAGGCTGTCCAAGAAGACTAATGCTGTGACCAAGGGTAACTCCTGCCTTGGAGCTGGGGCAATGTGGGAGCTGATAGCTCCACTGGTCTGGCCAGAGTTGTGTCTGGGTTGTAGCCAAAGCTGTGGCCTCACTTCTTAGGAGGGTATGGTTAGAGCAGATGGGGAATGGGGGAACAACAGGCACATTCTTTATTAGATAGATTCCAAGGACTTGGTGGTACTGAGAGATTTTTTTCCCTCTTGTTTGAAATGAAGTGATTTACAATGTTGTCATAACGTGGGGCTGGTGAATGTAGTGTGGTTGGTAAAATGCTTGCCTAGTATGCATGAAGCCCTGGGTTTGATCCTCAACACTACCTACAACTAGGTGTGGTGGTGCACACCTGTAACCCCAGCACTCAGGAGATGGTGCCAAGAGGGCCAGAAGTTCAGTCATCCTTGGCAATATGGCGAGTTTGAGGCCAGTCTGGGCTACATCAGACTCTACTTCAAAAAGAACAAACAAGTAAATGAATCTGTCACAATAGAGCTGTCCCAACTCACTGCACCATATCTAATAAGGTAGCAGAAGTAAACTGTCTTCTTGTCAACACGAGCACAGTTAAAAAGGCATTTAGACAGGTGTGGTGGTGGACATCTCTCAGCCCAACGCTGTCGAGTCTCAAGCAGGAGGATTATGAGTTTAAGGCCATCCTGGGATATGCAGCTAGACCTTGTTTCAAAAATATGCAGATAGATAGATAGATAGATAGATAGATAGATAGATAGATAGATAGATAGATGATAGACAGACAGATGATAGATAGATGAGTTAAGAAGGCCTGTGGTATAAAGACGAAGCTAGCAGATGGAGAGAGGACATCTCTCCTCAGTACACTAGGCATCCTTGGGCACTTCCACCACTGGGTGTTGTCATGAGGCCAGGGCTGTGGAGGGTCTAGCGGTGGGGTCACTTTATCTCCTGCAGGTTTCCCATGAATGTGCCATGCCTGTTGAAAAGGACTCCTGAGCTCTGCCACAAGTTTCTCTAGATACCAGAATGACATTTCTCAAAGGGCCAAATGAAATACAAGCACATGTTGACACAGGCCTTTCCAAAGCCTTCAGATGGGCTGTTCTGTCTTTGAAGAAGACTGAGGCATGCTGGCCTTCTCAAACTTATTGTTCCATGGCCTTTTTTTTAAGAGCGTACACCACACACACACACCCTGGCACTCAGGCTTCCACTCTGGAAAATGTAGCAGAGGGGTTTGCGACCAACAACACTCCCTCTAGATGCCCGGTCAAGGTCGTATCTGAAAGGCACTCCACCACTTCCAAGGAACTCAAATCCAAGTGATTCCTGACTTAGAACAGTCCAGCTTAGGACTTGATGATGGTGAGAAAGTGGTGTGCATTCAACAGAAGCCCTTAGATTTGAGGTTTGGGATATAAGGATCTAAGTCCAGATGTTTAGCATCACATTAAGAAGACAGGTGCATCTGTAACTCCAGTCAGGGAGGAGGGGGAAATGGACACAGATGATCTCAGGGACTCCCTGGCCTGTCAGCAAATTAAAAATGGTGAACTTCAGATTAACCCTGGAGGGGTTTATAGGAAAACATCTGACATTGACTTCTGGCATTTTTACACACAAACATACACACATGAAAATGAAGGTCAGGGGCTTGTTACATGACCCAGACTGGGCATGTGATGGTTAGTTTTGTGAACTTGACACAATGTAGAACCATCTGGGAAGAGAGTCTCAATGAGGCATCATCTACACTGGAGTGTGAAGAAATCTCACTGAGCATAATCAAGCAAGGGAGTATGTATGCATTCATTTCTCTCCCTGCTCTTAATTTTGGGTGCAACCAGCTCCCTCAAGTACCTGAAGCCTTGACTTCTCCACATGATGGACTGTAACCCGGAACTGTTGGCTTAATAAGCCTTTCCTCCTCTAAGGTGATTTTGGTCATGGCATATTATCACAGTAATATAAACCAAACGAGGACAGGCCTCAGACTCAATTCGCAGCCCAATCATGGTAGTCTTGTACTCTTGATGAGCCCCTGGCTCCGTCCTTCAAGGGCTGGGATTATAGGTTCATACTACCACACCTGCTCCATTCTGCTTTCTTTCTGTTCTGGTGTGCCTGAGTTGCTACTTCCTGCTGGCAAGTTTCTAGGTCTTTCTGTGGAGTGCCAAGACAGCAAGCCTTCAAGGTTACCCACCAGAGTCATTCCACAGCCCCACTCCTGCTTGGCAGCCCTGGGTTTCACCTCGCGGCCATGATTGCCCCATGAAGTTGCCATGCATAGAACACCCGCAAAGGACAGATCTTGGGGCCCGACCTCACATGTCCATCACTGGCGGTTGTGAGCTCTTTCTGAAGGTTTGTGATGGTCCTGGTCCTATATTTCAAGTGAATGTGATCAGTATCCAAAGTAAATGGGACATCAGCTTTGCCCTTAGTACTAACCCACTCATTAATTATAAAATAAACACATGTGAATGGCCTTTAAATCTTACTGACAGTGGGCTTGAGAGATGCTCAGAGCTTCCTGAGGTCATTGGCTTCTCTGTCTTCAAGCAGAACCCTTCATCCAATGGGCAGAAGGGAAGTGTTACATGAGAAGGGTGTCTGGGTACCCTCTTCCATTTGGGGGTTGCTCTGCAGTGCTAGTTCTAGCTACCCCACACAAGGTTCTGTCCAGAGACAATGAGGGGGTTCACCTGAAGTGGTGAGCCATGGGGGAATGGATGCCATTTTTACAAGGTGCTAGGAATATGGGTCTGGGGCCAGTAGGATGACCTGGGGGTAAGGGTGACTGCTGAGCCTGATCACCAGACTTGAATCCCAGGGAGAGAACTGACTTCAAGTTGTCCTCTGACCTCCACTTGTGTATCATGGCACTTGCGCGCGCGCGTGCACACACACACACACACACACACACACACACACACACAGACACACACACACACACATTTAATATACTAATACATACATATATATTTAAAAATAAAGTAAAATTTTAAAAACAAAAGAAAGTCACCTTCCTGAAGCAGAGAAACACAGGGCACCTAGGAGATCCTCCACTTCCTTCAGACAGAAATGTTTCTACTACAGAAAACTAGATGCAGGCACAAGATTGCTTTTTCCTTTTTTCTTTATTTTTATTTTTTTTTTTTACTCAAAGTGGGCTGAGCTATCATTCACCACCGCTAGACGGTGCCATTCCCTCTTGGGGCCATTTCATTCTGTTCCTATGGAGAGCCATCATTTCCCTGGGCAAGATCAAATCTCATCTTAGACACCCAGGGAGTTCCTCTCTGATGTCACTGTTTGCCCCCACACACTAGGAAAGATCTTGACTCCTTAGTAGGATGTGCAACGCTTTGCTTCAAGGATAGAAAATCTCCTTGCTTTTCACAAAGCTGGGGGCCAGCCTGAATGCTCTAGAGAGCTGGTTTTGTACCCTGACATTTTAGAGGCGTTCATTGAGTTAAAGGATCCATCAAGTCTTTACAGACACTTTCTACGGATTCAGGAGGATCTATGGAAAAATTAATCTCTCCAGTGCTTACTCTTTATTAAGCCTCTTCGAAAGCCAGCCCTGGGCTTGAGGAAAAAAGTAAAATGTCATCATTCCAACCTTACTTGGGAAAGTATTTAATTTCCATTGTATGCATGATGTCCAGGGGTAGCAAAACATTCTGGGACATTCTTCTGGCTTATACAGCCTTCCTCCTGTCTTCTTTCCTCTCCCCAAAGAAGGGTAGGGAGATGATGGACATCTGCTGCCTTGGCGAGAGAATGAGAAGTAGAAAAATTACTCCATAATTATAAACAGAGCATTTTGATAATCCCTTCATTCTTCAAGAAACTCGATGAAGTCCTTCTAAATTTGCAAGACTGGATTTCTCTGCTTTGTGTGCTGGACCCAGAAAACACTGAGACAGAAGATCTGAAAGAGGAAAACTTGGAAATCACAGACTCAAAGAAAAAGCTGAAGAATCATTTCAAGTGATGTCAGTTTCGAAGATGTTTCTGAGAGACATCTGCTGTCCCAGAACATGGAGTTCCCATCACTGGCTCAGAAGGTACACAGGGTCTCCCACTCTGATCGTCCCTGGATTTTCCAGAGCAAAATACTGTCCAAAGAGGGGCAGCTTTCCATACAACGATTGTTCTGAAGGGTCACACAGGCGGTAACTGCAACAGGAAAAGACCTTGATGAGTCACAGCGAACAGGAAGAGCTTGAAACCCGCGCGCGCGCGGCTTTGTCAGGGCTGAAGCAGGTGTCCACCCACTCAGGCAGGCTGTGCCTAGAACCAGGGTCCAGTCAGACCTAACAGCCCAGCACCCCCTGGGGAGGACCGGAGCGCCACAGGCCAGTTGGAAGCACCAAGGCATGGCCAAAAGTTACATCCTGATGGCTTTTCACTCTAGTGATGTTTTCCTTTTCCAGCATCAAGGAATGAGGTGGCTCAGTGGTTAAGAGCACTGGCTGCTCTTCCAGAGGACTGAGGTTGGGTTCCCGGCACCCACACCAGGAGGCTCACAACTGCCTGTAACAGCTGGATCACACTTTGTCAGCACTGCACACACATGACACACAGACACACGAGCAGGCAAAGCACTCATGCGCATAAAAACAAACAAACAAATAAATAAGTTTAAAATTTAAGAAAGATTTAGAATTTTTAAAAGAGAAAAAAAGTTAGATATTCCATATGCCTGGACATGGCCTATAATTTTTCTTTTGCCTCACAGCTCTTCCACATACGTCACCTCATCCAAGGTCCTGGACAGACTGTCACCCTCTCCTTTATGTCTTTCCCTTCCTCATCCCTGGCTGCCCAGATCAGAGGTCCTCGGAGAGTACCATTGACTCTGCTCCCTTTATTTCCACTCCGACTGTTCCAATGTTGCTGCTGACATGCCCACGCTACCTTAGAAGTGGAATGTAGCAACTTCTTAGCCAACCTCTCTCCAGTTTTCATTCCCCCACACCAACTTAGTGTGGACACATTCTATGACCGTCATTTTTTTTTCAAAGATTTGTTTATTTTTATACGCACGCACGGGTGATTTGCCTTCATGTACGCCTACGTGAGGGTGTCAGGTCCCCTGGAACTGGAATTACAGACACTTGTGAGCTGCCGTGTGGATGCTGGGGATTGAACCTGGGTCCTCTGGAAGAGCAACCAGTGCTCTTAACCCCTAAGCCATCTCTCCAGCCCCATGACTGTCTTTTTTTAAAAAGAGATTTCTTTATTTTTATTTAGGTGTACAAGCGTTTCTCTGTACGTGTATATGAGCGTCACATGTGTGCAGTGGCTGAGGAGGCCAGAAAAGCGTGTTGACTCTCCTGAAGCTGGAGTTACCAGTGATTATGAGTGCCCCATGTGGGTGTCGCGGGAACCGAACCCAGGTCCTCTGGAAGAGCAGCTAGTGCTTTTCATCACTGAGAAATCTCTCCAGCCCCATGCTGTCTTAACTTCACACTGATCTTATCATTCTTCAACTAGGAAACCCTCTGTCTCTGGCTCCCCAGTGTGTAAGGAATAACACTGGCCTTCCCCACATGGTGTACAACGCCTCCTGCCTGGCCACCGCCAGATTTCTCAAACCTTTCTCTCCTGCTACTTACGGCACCCACACAACACTGCAGGATAACCCACTGTGCTTTACCTGGCTTGGAGACTCCCTAACCATCCCTCCTCCCCTTCCCCAAGCAGCAGGATCCCACCCTTTCCTCCAGGCCCAACCTGTCCCAGGGAAGAAGGCCACAGTCCCACAAGCCAGGGGCAATTTCCTGTTTCTTGATTTCTCTGCTCTTGCCACTTTTTGTCCTACAGGTTCAGGTCACACATCTGTCTGTTCTATGGGACAAAGTGACCCTGGGGAACTGAAAGTGTCCAATTCCCTTGTCCCACTTACACCTAGTTCTGGGCCTCATCAGTCACCCCTGGCCCCACACTTGCTTGTTGAATGGACAGGAGTATTGGTAAGTGACATTCTTAAAGACAGTATGAGCTAGATGTGGTCATCCAGCACTCAGGAGACTGAGGCAGGAGGAGGGAGGCAAGGTCAAAGTCAACCTGACTACAAAGCGAGACCTTGGGGGTGGGTGGATAGGAAATTCGCCTTTGTCAGGCAGAAAACTCAAGAAGCCCTGAGCCAATGCAGAAATATCACGGTAAGAGCCCGCCTCCAGCAGGGGAGCTTGATTCTGCTTCTCACTTAAGCTAACCCCAATTCTACAACACTCTTCTATTTAAAACATTAATATTGAAAGCATTGATTTTGTTCTACTTCACCTTTAAAACAACACACTGTAAAAACATGGTTCTAACTACTCTTCAAAACAGAAATGGCCGCTGAGAACAGAGGCCCAGACAAGACCCCACATGTGTGGGGTGGTGTGGCCACAGGCAGAAGGTACAGCCTAGGATAGCCTTGATCTCATGGCCCTCCTACATCCGCCTCTTCAGGGTATCTTTCTGGTGTGTGCTACCACAACCAACAGAGATCTAAATGTTCTGCTGAGAAAGTAGACCTGAGGCAAGATCTCCTGTGGTCCAGATGGGCCAGGAGCTGACTGAGGCTGGGAGACCGTGGCACTCATGAGCTCTGCTGCTGCCATAACGGGCCTGTGTGACACTGTCCTGGCTTAGGAGGTGCTGCGGAAGGAAACGGGGGTCCTTTGGTGTGCCAGGCTAGCACCCCAGCCCCTGAGCTACCGCACCAGAATATATAAATGTGTGAAATTGTCAGAGAATAAATTAAAAACAATAACTAATAAAGAAGCAAAAGCTGAACCTGTCTCCTCTGGAGCCCCCAACCCCTCCCCAGCATGTGGGGTGACAGTGTGTCTCCCGTTTGCTGCTATCTATAGTCCTGCTATGGGGCCTGGCACACGTCAGCCATTCAAGAGAGGAGTGGATGGATGGATGAACAGACGGATGGATGGACAGACGGATGGGTGGATGGGTGGACGGACGGATGGACAGATGGATGGTTGGGTGGATGGACAGATGGATGGACGGATGGATGGATAAAGCTGCTATTCTGGGCTATCTCAGCTTGCCTAGCGTGCTTCCTCATGGTATAGCTTGCAGTAGCCTTGGACCATGAACCCAGGCATCTCTTTTTACTTGCCTCTCCCTTGGTCACCATGTGATGAAAGAGGTTTTGGGGATGGGGGAGGGAGGAGATAGCAATCATTTTTGTGGCTTGGCATATTTTGTTCCTAGGCTCTACACTGTGGGGCTGTGTGATCTACCTATCTCAAGGAAGTCCTGTACCTCTCGCATACTTGCATAAGCACCAAGTACTTCCCACATGACTTCAGCCCCTGCTACAAAGCCTTGATAGGCGTGTGTGACTCACCTATACAGGTGAGTCTCAGAGCCCAAACCTATGTGCCCAGGATCCTGTATCCAAATGCTAATCTGATACCAAAGCCCAGTCCGAGGATCAGGATTTCAAAGGTATCTCATCCTCTAGCAAGGATGCTGCCACTCCTATATTTACATCTTCCTAAGCAACCCTCCTCCCCAGGCCTGGTAAGAATCCAGAGATTCAACAATCACTTTAGCCTGGCCAGTTCCTGATTGCCAGGTGAGGGAGACAAAGTGAAGTCAACAGCGGCCCCTGGTGGACATAACTAGGCATTGCAAGAGGTGTATTCCAAGCCTTTTCCTTCGATCTTGACTGATGAATGGATCTTCTCTGACTTTATCTATATATCTATATCTACATCTAAATCTACATATATATACTCTACCTATGTATTTATATCTATATCTCTCTCCCTCTCTATATAAACACATGTGCAACCTCTGTTGGCATTAACAAATTAAAGTAAGATAAGACCTTACTTTATAGCTCAGAATGACCTGGGACTATGTAGACTATGGTTAGCCTCCAAATATGGCAATTCTTCTGCCTCAACCTCCAAAGTACTGAGACTACTAATGTCAGTGACCACACTGAGCAATAAATTATATTTCAAAGAACATTTCTCCATGTATTTCATTTCAATGCACATAGAACATGCAATTACTCTGATATGCAAGAGGTCTTAAAACATGTTTTTTAACCTAAACAGAGGTCTCAAAGGACTGGACATTGTAGCTCAGTGGTGCAGCTTCTGTCTTGAGGCTCTGAGCTCCATTCCAGCACTCAAAAAAAAGAATTCAAACAACTCCTCCTCCTCCAACTAGACATCCCCATCCTTACATGGCAGTGTGAATGGAAACATTTTGTCATCTATAAAGTGCTGTGCACTAGTGAGGAGCAGGGGTGAGTCACACTGTCCTGTTTCCTCACATCAGTGACCAGGCAGGGCTACAGGCAAGGTCCCTCTCTGCTCAGTCCCCAGGTGGAGATCACAAAGCCATGGGCAGTCCTATGTCCATCCCACTTCCGAGACCTCCTAGTCTATCTCCATGGCTGGGTTCTGAGGTGAGCATCATCGTGACAGCTCCCTGAGGGGTGACACATAGACACTGCCTCCACCCCTGGCAACCGACGGGATAGATTAGGTGTCATCAAAAGAAGTCAGCCTCAAGAATGGAAAGTTCTTCTGGCTTCTCCTGCTCTCAAAAGCGTCAAATTGATACAGGAAGCTGTCAAGGACCGAGTGTGCTAGGGCCTGTGGTCAGGACCTGATCACCTATTGAAGATGATACAAATTGCTTTATTTCAGTTATGAGAAGTCCTGTAAATTTAGTTCTTACAAATATAGAAACCGAGGCCTCAAGATCCTAAGCATGCTGAAATGGAACTCTTATAACAGAGTGCTTGCCTATCATGCCCAAGATCCTGTGTTCCATTCCCCTAAGAAACAAAGCGCCCACTTCAGCCAGTCCTTTAAGAAAGAGCAGAGTGGGGCTGAGAGATGGCTCAGAGGTTAAGAGTACTGACTGCTCTTCTAGAGGAATTCCCAGCACCCACGTGACAGGTTACAACTGTCTGTAGCTACAGTTCCAGGGGACCCAACACCCATGGCAAAACACCAATGCACATTAAATAAAATAAAATAAAAAAAAGAAAGAGCGGAGTGATTCCATCCTCCTCCTTCCCCATGAGCAGACAATAAGGCTCCCCGTGCTTGTCCTAACCAGACAATGCTGGAATAATTCCCTGTGGTAGGGGTCTTGCTTTGTCCAGCTGGGCTCTGACCACATAGAAGCAAGGCCAGGCAGGTGGGTGGGAGGTCAGCCTCTCCGCCCCACACTTTCAATGCAAAGCAGCAGCAACCCCTGGGTACCAGTGATACCCAGAAGAAAGGGGCTGTGTGCTCTGCCTGTGATTTATACCCTGCAGCGGGGCCTCTCCCTGTCCGATTTATGACCACCTATCCCAGGAAGAACATAAATCACTATACTCACAGCATTTTAAATCTCAGGGAGAACTAGAAGACACCTTGGCTGCCTGCACTGTCTCCCTGGGTATTAAAAGCAATTAAGGCAGGATAGCTGGGCTGTAGGAAGCCTGCAGAAGATCAGGCGGTGAGTATGGGCTCCTGTGATTCCTGCTTCCTGCTTCCTGCCCTTACCCTGTGTTTGGCGCCCATTATTCTCTTTCTACAAACATAGCCTCCCAAGAGAGGGGCTCTGACAATACAGAGAAGCCGCCCCAATGCTTTGAGGAGTCTGTTCTCCAAGCACCAGAGCCTTTCACAGTCAGAGGGAAAGGAGATCTGAGACCAGGGAGTGTGCGAGGGAGAGATGAAGAAATGCAGGGTGACAACCAGTTCTGGAGTCGTTTGATGCACACAGAGACTTACCCAGTTTTACCCCCATTTCTTTTATTTTATGAGGACCAGAGCCATGCCTGGTGGTACAAGCCTATAGTCCAAGCTACTCGGGAGTCCAAGACAGAAGAACCACAAGTCCAAGGATTACCAAGGCTACAAAGTGAGCTCAAAGCCAGCCTGGATGACTTAATGAGACCCTGCCTCAAACTAGCAAGTAAGAGCTGCTTAAGAGCACTTGCTGCTCTTGCAGAGGGGCCCTGGTTCAGTTCCCGGCACCCACATGGTGGTTCACAGCTGTCTGTAGCTAGAGTTCCAGAGGATCTGACATCCTCTTCTGGCCTATGTGGACATCATACGCACACACACACACACACACACACACACACACACACACACACACACACGCTGCACACAAATACATGTAGGTAAATACCCACACACATAATAATAGTAATAATAATAATAGCAAAATTTAATAAGAAGTAAAAAAAGATGACGGGAGACAGAGCTCAATGGTAGAAGGGCTGGCCTAGCATCCCCAAGGACCTGGATCCAGTCCCTAGAATCCCAGAACGGAACAGCCAGGGCCTGGCAGAAGGGGACATGCTGATAGTCACAGTGCTGCAATGGCCGGGTCTCTTTCCGCCGCCCAGCCTGTCCTTTCCCTTTGCTCTATCTCCTTGGTTCCATGGAAAATGAAAACACTAGACTTTCCATTGCTCGGATGTTGACTAGATGGGAACGAGAGCTGCAGCGCGTCACTGTCATCTCTGCCCCAAAGCCTGCTCCTCTGCAGTACCTGCCTAACATAGAGACATTCCCCACAGTACCTTACAGGAGTCCCCTTTACTCTCTGGAGATACTTTCCAAGACCTCCACTGGGAAGAGCAAACCATAAGCAGTATGGCACCCTGGACATACTGGTTTTCTTCTGTACATACCATCTACTCAGTGGCCAGGACTCCCGAAAGCTCCCACTCCGCATGGGTGTGGTGTTTCCACAGGTCCCTTTTACAAACATTAATAAACATGGCCCCTCGGACACCTGAACCTCAGGATGAGACCCCGTCCGCCTGGTTCTACCTCTTCAGCGTTTCCAGAGGCTCCTTCCCGTCCATGACTCCGGTGTCCGGATCCACCGTTGTCAAAAGGCACCTGGACACAGATAAAGCATCATGCAGGGAACAGAGCAGAGAGGCAGCCCTTGCCCCTCCCCCCACGGGGACAAGAAAGGGCCTCACCTGGTGCAAGCCATCACCCGTTTGAGTTCCACATCCCCAATGAGGAGCTCATTCCAAGAATCCTAGAGAGTAAAGAACAAGTTCCCATGAGCACCTCTGGGCCCTCACCTGTGCAACGACTCATGGGGAGTCACACCTAATGATGTCATTACATCAGGGGGCGTGGACTTCACCTCAGTCTGGAGAGGCCAAGGGACACCCCACACCTTTTGAGTTCCCATTCTTCCTAAGCAATGTCAGGCCTCTCTCCTCTTTGAAAGCTTACCCAGGCATGACATCCTAGGTTGGATCCACAAAACTGTATAATCGGAGCATGATGTCACACACCTTCTATCCTAGCACTTAGAAGGTAGAGGCAGGAGAACCAGAAGTTCTAGGCCAGCCTTGTTATATAGCAAGTTTGAGGACAGCCTGGGATACACCCGGCCCTGTCTCGAAAACAAACGCCAAGTCGCTGTGTGATCTGGTGTTCTGATTTCCCATCCATCTCCCCTGCAGCTCCAGTGTCCCAGCTCCCACAGGGACGACCTCTCAGGTGTTGGCCTGTGGGCAAGGCTAGTGCAGACTGTGCCTCAAGGTCAAGCAAGTGAGTGGACTGAGCCCCTGCAGACTCTCAAGTTCAGTGAGAAACAGGGTATATACATGAAACATTGAAAAATAAAAGGATACTCTCTTTTTAAAAACCCAGGGCAAATGGAGTGGCGCAGTGAGATAAAGTGCTGGTTGCCAGCTAGCCACCCTGAGTTGGGTCCCCGGGGAGAGGGAGAGAACCCACTCTAGTGAGTCGTCCTGTGGCCGCCATACATACACTGTGGTGCGCATGCGTATACACACACACACACACACACACACACACACACACACACACATCAATCAATCAATCATCAGTCAATCAATGTGATCATTGACTGTAAAAGTGAAAGGCCACAGAAATAAGTGAGGATGGGGGGGGGGTGTGTTAAATGTGTACATAAAAATGTCACAGTGAAATCCATCATGTTGTAAATAAAAGCACAATAGACTTCCAGGAAACTTAAGAAACGCATTCTAACCCAGCGTGCTCTGTGTCGGTTGAAGCGCAAACGAGGATCCTAGGAATCAGGGGGAGCACGCCAGGCGAGGTTGGCTTAGGAAAAGCCTGTAGAATAGCCAAGTGGGCAAAAGGGGGAGGGGACCCCAGCCAGGGAGGAAGTCAAAAGGAAGGCAGGGCTGGCCTTAGTGTGCCTGAGGTCCTTCATCCCCAACTCCAAAAAGAAAAAGAAAGAAGTCACCACTGAGAAGGAAAAAAGGACATGGAAGGAGGTCAGGCCTTCCCCCACAAGGGAGGAAGCGGAGCTGGTGGGGGCCGGAAGCAAGTATCTGAGGTGAGCAAGGTGTTGGTGTCAGCATCTGGCAAAAGAGTGTCCTAAGTTGCAGCCTTAATCCTGATGGTTCACGTTGTTCTCCATATGGCTCCGGCATGGGTTTTGTTTGGCTCGGTTTCGTTTTTTATTTTTTATATTTTTAGACTTAATCATTCTAATTTATGTGCGTGAGTGTTTTGCCTGGGCGTGTGTAAGTATGCCATGTGTGTGCCTGATGCCCACGGAGGTCAGAAGAGGGCCTAGGATGCCTTGCCTTGGAACTGGAGTTAGGGATGGGTGTGAGCCACCATGTGGGTGCTGGGAACTGAGCCACGCTCCTCAGCAAGTGCTTTTTTACGGCTGAGCCAGCTCCCCAGACTCCTCGGCTTGGTTTTAAGTTAACATGGGTCCTGTCTCTATGTCACAGTAAGTTAGGAAACTGGGCACAGAAGATTCTAGTAACCACAGCCTGTCCCGTGAGCACGTCTCCAGCAGGGGCCACTGTGGTAATAAAACACATAAAAGGATAAAAGGAAGCTGAGGACCCTGATCAGGGAATTAATTAGTCATGACTTAGAGAACTATTCCCAAAGCCTCTTCTAGGAGGACATTAAGACATAGAAAACTAAGGCAGGGCCTGGAGACATGGCTCAGCGGTTAAGAGTGTGTATTGCTCCTGCAGAGGGCCAGCCTTCAGTACCAGGCACCCACTTCAGGCAGCTCACAACCACTATAATGCCAGCTGTAGGGGATCTGACACTCTCTTCTGGCCTCCAGGGGCACGTGCATTTATGTGCATATACAACCCACACACCCCCACATATACATAATTAAAAATAAATCTTTCTATTTAAAAGAAGATTGCCAAGTGTAACGGTATACCCCTTTAATCCCAGCACTCAGGATGGATTGCTCTGAGTTTGAGACCATCCTGGTCTACATAGTGAGTTCCAGGCTAGCCAGGGTTACATAGTGACATAGTGAGATGCTTCTCTCTCTCTCAAAAAAGTGGGGGGGGGAGGTTTATAAAAAGGAAAATTAAGGTTAAAAAAAAAATTCCACCATCTGGAAAGAGCCTGTTTAGCAAAGGGAGGGAAGAGGAGAAAATCTCTTCCTACTGACCTCACACCGGGCCTGGAAAGGTGTTGACCCAGCGGAGTCCATGGGAGTCTTCCACTGGGACACACTGGCTGGAGGTAATGACTCTGAGGTGGGCTCAGAGGCAGAAAGGTCTGGACAGAGCCGAGTCTGGCCTGGGTTTGGGTAACAGTGCTGCAGGTCCAGTTTGCTGTTTGGAGAGCTTTTATGGGAAACAAGGAAGTCAGCTGTGCCACGATAGCAGAGGAGCTTTGACTGACTTGAGTGTTGGGGGGGGGGGGAGGGGCGGGGTTAGGGCCTTTTAAAATTAATTACATATGTGGTTGACTTTAAATTTTATTGTTTATTTATTTTCGAATGTGTGTGTGAAGGAGGGGGAAGGGATGTGTGTCCTGCCTCTCCACAAGTTCTGGGACCAAACTCCCGTTGTCATGTTTGTGTGGTAAATGCGAGCTGAGCCAGCTCAGAGGCTTAGCCTGGGTGTTTTTGAGAGACAGAGAGCCACTGAAGGCTGTTGAGCAAGGCAGTCACATGGAAGAGTGTAAGAGCTCCCACGGGGCCCCTGGGAGCTTGTCCCTTGCCTCTCTAGGGTTCAAGAGGGAACGCTTTGTGGTCCAGACATGATGATGTATCGGAGTCTGACCTAGCAGGTGGCCAAGAACTGAGAATCACAAGGCCAGTGCGTGTGACTGGGCCTGGGAGGGGTGGGGCAGAGGGAGGAGTCAGGAGCAAAGGTCCAGGGCTAAGCTCTGTGAAAGAGCGTTCAGCCCCAGGCAGAGGCTGGAACATGAAAAGGTCTCTGGGTAGGAGAAGAGCCTGAGGGCAGCCTGGGAGAGAGAATGGACCTTCTTTAGCAACAGAACTCAGCCCTTCAGAGGAAGCCCAGGGCTGTATGTACCTAAGGAGTGACAGGGGTAGTGACAGATTAGGCAACGCTGGGGGGGGGGGGGGGGGGATGGTGAAGATCACTGAGAAGGGGGGAGGGAGGGAGAGAGAGAGAGTCACTGTATAAGGATGTATGCATTTCTCTCACTGCAGAGTCACTGTATAAGGATGCATGCAGTTCACTCACTGCAGTCACTGTATAAGGATGCATGCAGTTCACTCACTGCAGAGTCACTGGATAAGGGTGCATGCAGTTCACTCACTGCCCAGACACTCACCATCTTCATAGGAATGCACATGTTTGGATCTGAGACTATGCAAGGAATGTTTTCTATAAAATACCAGAAGAGAGCTAGCTGGATGGCTCACTGGTAAAGACACTTGCCACCAAGTCTGAAGACCTGAGTTCAATTCCTGGGACCCACACAGCTGAAGGAGAGAACCAACTTCCACAGTTGTCCTCTGACCTCCACATGTGCACTGTGGCATGTACACACACACAAAATAAACAAGCAAACAAATAAATAAATACAATGTAAAAAATTATCAGGGCTGGATGTGTGGGAATGGCATTCCTAGATTGCTCTTTTCCCAGCATTCCTTGTCCACCTTCCATAAAAAAGCTGAAAGACAGAATTAGTTCCCCAAAATAAGGGGTTAGAATTCAGTCACTCAATCACTTGGCCTAAGTCTCTCCCTGGAATCCAAGGACACTGGAGAGGTAAGGGCCTCTTTCTTGTCTTCTCTGCCTCTCCCATTCTATACACAAAAGGCATGACCAGATATAAATTCCTATTGGAGGGCTGACATCTTCACTGGGTACCCACAGCTGGCCTCCATCACCAAGCCTCCACACCAAGGCTTCTTAAAGTTTTTCCCAGGCACAACCACTTTTTATCTTTTTTTTTTTCTTTTTCTTTTTTTTTTTGAGACAGGGTTTTCTTTTTTTTTTTTTTTTTTTTTTGAGACAGGGTTTCTCTGTGTAGTTTTGCGCATTTCCTAGATCTCGCTTTGTAGACCAGGCTGGCCCTTGAACTCACAAAGACCCACCTGGCTCTGGCTCTGCCTCCCGAGTGCTGGGATTAAAGGCATGCACCACCACCGCCCGGCCCCAACCTTGAACTCATTATGTAACTGAGGCTGGCTTTGAACTCCCAGTCTTCCCGACTCTCTCTCCTGTGCTTGGATTACAGTGATGGATCTCCTGGAAATAACTGTTACACCTTCCACAAAAGAAAAAGAAAGAAGCTGTGCAGGCCAAATGTTACCTCTGCGTAAACGCCACATCCTGAAATGACAATGTTGGGCCTGAAGTTAGTCGCTTTCACTATCTTCTCCATCCTGGAGTTGAGATCTTCCAAGGATGCCTCAGAAAGGACCAAGAATGGGCTTGCATCTGAGTAGGCCACCTGACAAGGAAACAGATTTTGGGATACAATGTGGCCCAGAAATGCCTCATAAGGGACACCATGGGTCTAGTCCCTGAAAATTCAGCCCCCCAACACACACACACACACACACACACACACACACACACACACACACACACACCTTTATAATTATTTTTCTTTTTCTAGTTCTTTACATAGAAATGTCACAGCAATTCAAAGCCTTAACTGGCCTTGCAGAACTGCATGGCATTAAGAAGGGGTTGGAGAGATGGCTCAACAGTTAAGAGCACTGGCTGCTCTTGCAGAGAACCAGGGTTCACAGGGTTCAATTCCCAGCACCCACATGGCAGCTCACAACCATCTGTACCCCCAGTCCTAGGGGATCTGATGCCATCTTCCGGCCTTCATAGGCACTACACATATGTGGTACACAGACATACATTCAGGTATACCACCCATACCTATAAAACCTTATTTTATTTCATGAACAGAACATGACGTCAGAGTCCGAGAGCTGTCACTAGACATGTTTCCTTAAGGACATCACCTGAGCATCCATTTCCTTAGTTTAATAAGGTGGTCAAGTTTGATGGCTTCATTACATTTGAGAAAATACCTGCTAGTTCTCTAGGTGCCTATCTTTATGCAGCCGTCAAATTGATGTGAAGTATGAATGTTGGCTCTCGTTTTTTAACACTAAAGTTGTCTAGCCCTACCAACCTACATCATGGTGAGTTCCTGCAGCCTTACACCTTGAAGAAACAACCCGACCATGTGACATCTGGGGCTCTCTACACCTGTTTCACATAGCTGCTTCACATACCTGCTCCACACATCTGCTCCATGCACCTGCTCCCCACACCTGCTCCACACACCTGTTCCACATACCTACTCCACACATCTGCTCCACATACCTCTTCCATGCACCTGCTCCCCATATCTGCTTCACACACCTGCTCCACACACCTGCTCTAATTTGCACTTGTAATCTGACACGTAGTTGTAAGAAAGCTAGAAAATTTGGACCACACTGTTACAGAAATGACCAAAAATGATACCATTGTAGAATAAATAGTGCTGTGGAATAATCCTTCTGTACACTGTGGATATGTATTACTCTCATTGGTCAATAAAAAGCTGACAGGCCAGTAGTCAGGCAGGAAGTACAGGCAGGACAGCCAGACACAGAGGACTCTGGGAGGAGGAAGGGTGGAGTCAGTGAGAAGCCAGCCAGCCAGCCGCAGAGGGAGCAGGACATGTTGGAGGACCAATAAAGCCACAAGCCATGTGGCAGAATGTAGATGAATAGAAATAGGTTAATTTAAGTTGTAAGAACTAGTTAGTAATAAGCCTGAGCTATCAGCTGAGCATTTATAAGTAACATAAGCCTCAGTGTGGTAATTTGGAAGTGGCTGCTGGGATGGAAAACTCCACCTACGAAATAGTATTGTATTTCTATTGGACCCAGAATGCTTACATAAATAGGAAAGTAGATACTTCGGGGGAGTGGAGGCTCTCCCAAATCAAGAAAAAAGGAACCCCACCCCTGTACCCATCCTGGCAGGAATGAGTATATTCCCAAGAGACACTTGTGGCTCTCCCTTTGGCTATGAGACTATAGACACGAAAGAGTCCAAGAAACTGGAATATTCCCAAGGAGAGAAGAAAAGGGCTGGGGCCATGGTGTCAGCCAGGGGCGGAGGCTTGTCTCTCAGGAAGAGATTGCACACATTTCTGACAACTTTCAGGAGAGACTAGAACCTGGATAATGGTGACGGGCAGGACTTATTAGTTCTGCATACCTCTGGCCCTCTATTTAGAAGCCTGACTCATGAGGGCTGTCAGGGCCCAGGCTTTGAGCATGGCAAGCGCTTTCTTTCTGCCTACTGCTTGGAGTCTCTGGAGTCTGGAGGTTGCCACGAATACCACGTCATTTAGCATATCAGCGATGTGTCTGTCACACATGGGAAGACTCACACAACTTTCCTCTGCCCTCAGACCACACCGAGCCTCTCACAAGCCTCTGACCTGGTCCTTGGGCCGGAACTGAGCCCTTATCTGGTGAGAACTTCTGGGGCTCATGTGGGGCTCGAAGTGCACCAGGCGCACGGGCCGTGTCTTCAGGAAGCTGGTGATCCACTGAGCAGCCGCCTCTCCACAATCCCTGCCCTGCACCTCCAGACCGTGTACTCTGCAGTGGGGGACAGGGAAACGGGCAAGGACAGTTCAGAGGCTCCGAGTAATGTAATACTGTATTCCTGGACGGATCAGAAAAGCTGCAATGGTCCACCTGGGACATGGCCAACATCCCTTCTTCATCGGCGGACCTTGCTTTAGTCCATGCCTGCCTCAGGACCACTGTAGACACAAAGTGGAATTGAAAGTGCTGTTTCCAGCCTTGCTTTTCCCATTTGCAAAAGCCGCTGAAGCATACCCGTGTCTCCCTACCTGAAGGGTGTGCTTGGAGGATGAAGGGAGATAATAGGTTTGAACTGTACTGAGTTTTCAGAAGAACATGAACAGACCGGGGAGGCTTAGTTGGTACAAGGGTGAAGGGCCCAAGTTCAACCCCCAGAACCAAGCCTAAAATCAGCCGAGAAGAGCCTTCAGTGAGGGACTGCCTAAATCAAGTTGGCATGTAGGAGATTGTCTCGACTGTTAATTGTAGGAAGACGCAGCCCATTGTGTGTGTGTGGGGGGGGTCATTTATTGCAGTAGTAGGATTTGAACCTAGGACTTTGTGCATGTTAAGCAAGCACTCTACCACTGAGCCACATCTCCGTTCTTCTTTTTATCTTGTCTTCATATTTTCAGGCAGGGTCCCACTGAGTTAGTTGTCCAGGCTTCTGTTGAAATTATGATCCTCCTGCCCAGCCTCCCTCCTGCTGGGATTACAGGCTGATGCCACCAGGCCTGACTGAGATGAATAGACTATGGGTTTCCTTGGACATTCATGTTTTTGTTGTTGTTGTTTTAAATTGTTGTAGTTTGTTTTTGTTATTTGGGTTTTGGGGGATTTCTTTCCTTTTTCTTTTCTTTCTTTCTTTCTTTCTTTTTTTTTTTTTTTTTTTTTTTTTTTGAGACAGGGTTTCTCTGTGTAGAGCCTTGGCTATCTTGGAACTCACTCTGTAGTCCAGGCTGGCCTCAAGCTCAGAGATCCACCTGCCTCTGCCTCCCAAGTACTGAGATGAAAGGATGAAAGGTGTATGCCACCATGCCCAACTCATATTACATATTAATTACAAATGCAGAAACAGGGGTTGGAGATTTAGCTCAGTGGTAGAGTGCTTGCCTAGCAAGCACAAGGCCCTGGGTTCGGTCCTCAGCTCCGGAGAGAAAAAAGAAAAATGCGGAAACAGTCAGGTATAGTGGCACACGCCTTTAACCCCAACACTCAGGAGGCAGAGGCAGGTGGATCTCTGTGAGTTTGAGGCCAGCCTGGTCTGCAGAGTGAGTTCCAGGACAGCTAGAGCTGTTACACAGAGAAACCCTGTCTCAAAAAAAAAAAAAATGCAGAAACAATAACAAAAGTATAATTAAGCCAAGTCATTGTCCCACAGTGGGAAAAAGGAAGTTCTAGCTGTGATTTCTTAGACGCTAAGCCAGGTCCTGGAGCACCCGCCTTCCCACAGCCCATCAGTGCTGAGGAGGTAGGCTTCTGTATGAGTTCCCCAGCAATGTCCGCCTCCCTCCAACCTCCACCTGAACGCAGGACACCTCTTCAGTGCAGGGACACACTTCCTACCTGCCGCTGTGCTTGGTCCTGGATTCTTGGGTGGAACTATTTTTCTCTTAGTTTCCTGTCGATGTGGTTTTTTGCCCCCATTGCTTTCTACCTTGGACTTATTAATTAACTAATTTATGTTTGAGTTGGGGTTCAAACCCAGAGCTTCGCGCATGCGAGGCCAGTGTTGTACTACCGGGTCACGTCCTCAGCCGGCCACATTGGGCTGTGGTGCTCCTTGTCCCTACACCAACTATTTCCTCATTTCTCCTCTCGCGATGCAGAGGACTGAGTGCTGCGGGGGGAGGGGGTCATGTGCAATCAATGGCTCACTGTTGATCGTGTGCTTTCCGGAGACCCTCCATTGCACACACTTCCTAAAAATTCCAAGAGCATATGCACAATCTGGATTTCAATACAAATATATATCTTCAAACATGTATATATAGGACATGAATGTGAAGAGGGACTATGCATGGGAGGAAGAGGTCTAAAGGAAAGGGGGGACAAAAAAATCTCACGTTTTCTGTTATATGTAGAATCTAGATTTAACTATCTATCTATCTATCTATCTATCTATCTATCTATCTATCTATCCATCATCTACCTATATAAAGACAGGGTTTCATGTAGCCCAGGCTGGCCTTGAATCCACCACATAGCCAAGGATAACCTGAACTTCAGATCTTCCTGCCCCTACCTCTCCTGCTGGGATTACAGGTATGTACCACCATGTCTAGAAAGCTATGTAGTATCAAGAGTAAATCCAGGGCTTTGTGTGTGGTAGGCAAATACCCTACCCCTGAGCTGCATCCCCGACCCTACATATACATATGTGATATGAAATATTGAGACAGTTATTTGCAGGGAAGAAGGAACCAATGGAGGGTACAGGACAAGGGAATACAGGGTTAATATGAGCAACATACCACGTGTATGCGTAAAAACGTCACAATGAAACCCGTCTATTATTTCGTAAGCTAACTGTGGGTTTAAACAATGAAACGCTAAAGTAAAGAAAAATTGCGTGCATATTTGGTCCCCTGGGCCAGAGGCCTGCTCTACTCACCTGCACTGGAGTAGTGGGTTTGTGGTGGGGGGTGTGATGGGCAGCAGCAGGTCCTTTGTGTAGGCTGCACTGAGAGTCAGGGTGTCATTGTCGCAGGTCAGGGAAATCAGGACCAAGCGAGGTTCCTGCCGGGCAGTGACCATGTTCCCGTCTTCATTGACCACAAGCCAGAACCTGACAAAGGAAAACCAGCGCAGACCGCCTCAGCCACTACCAGAGTCACAGTTACCCACCTCATAGTTCCTCCCTGTAAGAAGCCTGGAGGGTGTGTGTGTGTGTGTGTGTGTGTGTGTGTGTGTGTGTCTACCTGTCTGTCTGTCTGTCTCTACTGAGCATTGCCTTGGCAACAAACAAGTCTGACACTGTGTGTTAATTTTAAAGGGTCGAATAACCACTCAAGAATTAATGCATAACAGGTGGGACACTTGGAACCAAAGATGTTAATTATACTTTGCTCCAGTTGCCAGGACTTTACCACGTTCATTAAACATGTCCCGAGAAGATGTTAAGAATCCACTTCACAGAAGGCCAGAGACTTGCCGGAAGCAGTGAATTCCCAGGAACAGAAAGATGGAGTTGTTCCTCAAGGAGTTTGCAGCCACAGAGCTCAGCTGAACAACAGGTGATGCCAATCCCATACACCAACCCCTTTTATTTATTTTTAATGTATGGGTATGGGTGTTTGTGGGCATGTATGTATGTGCACCACATGCACGCAGTGCCTGCAAAGGCCAGCAGGGGGCATAAGAAAACCTGGAACTGGAGTTACCAGTGGTTGCCAGCCTCTGTATAAGGGCTGGTACCAAAACCCGGCCCACCTGCAAGAGCAGCAAGTGATCTTAATTGCTGAGCCATCTCTCCAGCCCTGCCCACCACATGTTTAAATACTGGGTGCTGTGAATTCTGCAATTTGCTAAGAAGGTCTAGTGTTCATCTTTACCATACTTTTCTAGCCCACTATTCCCCGGGCTTGGAGATACTTCCTGAGAAAGTGATAACTGGAGACAGAAGAGCAGTCACTGTTTCCAGAGGAAGAACAGTGCATCCCCTCTCCGCTGGCTGCCAGCGGAGTGAAGACTTGGGGGCAGAAACTGAAGCAGAGGCCGCGGAGCAGAGCTACTTACTGGCTTGCTCCCCATCATTTACTCTCTCTGCCTTCTTAAACAACCCAGGACCACCAGGCCAGGGGTGGTGCTGCCTGCAGTGGGCTAGGCCATTCCACATCAATCATTAATCAAGAAAAATGCCCCATGGACTGGCCCATAAGGCCAATCTGATGAAGGAATGTTCTCAACTGAGGTTCCTTTTCCCAGAGATCTATCTCTAACTTGTGTCAAGTTGACAGAAAAAAAATGATACAGAACACTATTTTACCATTTTATGTCTATGAATAATTGGGCATTCATATGATTGAAATTAAATGCATTATAGGAAGAGATATGTGCAGTAGAAAAAGCGAATATATGACCTATTATATCATCAATCAAGGTAGAGAGCCACCCTCATTTAACCCCTTGCTAACCAGGTCCTCCTTCTCTTGATCCCCAGCCTGGAACAATAATCAGGCTCCTTTAGTACTCTCACTCACGTGGCATTTTTTTTTTTTTTGAGATAGGTATGGTGGTTTGAAAGAAAATGGTCCCCAAAAGGAGTGGCACTATTAGGAGGTGTGGCCTTGTTAGAGTGGGTGTGGCCTCACTGAAGGAAGTGTGTCACTGTGGAGGCGGGCTTTGAGGACTCACTTATGCTCAAGCCACACACAGTATCTCAGATCACTTCCAGTTGCCTGAGAGTCAGGATGTGAGAGCTCTCAGCTCCCTCTCCAGCACCACATCTGCCTGCATGCTGCCATGCTCCCCACCATGACAATAGTGGATTAAATCCCTGAACTAAGAGCCACCACAATTAAATGCTTTCCTTTATAAGAGTTGCCATGGTTGTGGTGTCTCTTCACAGCAACAGAAACCCTGACTAAGACAACAGGGTTTCCTTGTGTAGCCCTGGTTGTCCTGGATCTTGCACTGTAGACCAGGCTGGCCTCAAACTCACAGAGATCCACCTGCCTCTGCCTCCTGAGTGCTGGGATTAAAGGTGTGTGCCACCACCTGCTGACTTCTGTCATTCTTGATTCTTCTAGAAGCTGTACTGTTGCTTTACTTCAAATAATGTTACCACCCTCTCTGGCAAGTCTGTGTGGGCCCTGGATTCCAGCTCTTTGGGTAAGAGACCAAGAACCCGGGACAGACCCAGCCCAGACGTGGACCATGAGTAACATCACCCATGTGAAGTAGGGCGTCATGGCAGCAGTGCGTTCAGTCCCATGTGACCTTCACCGCTGTTTCCCAGACCTTCCATCTTTCCAAACTGCACTCACTGAGCAATGGCTCCCCACACCTGCCTCCTCCAGCCCCGGAGCCTCCACTCCGCTTTCTGTCTATGAATTTGGAGTCAATCGATAGGAGCTGAAATCCTGCACAGCTGGTCCCTCTGCCCTGCTCATTTAAATTAGCGTTCTGTTTCCATTGTTCATCCAGGTTATGGCAGGCACTCGACCTCCACTCCTTTCCAAAGCTGGGTGACATTCCACCATCTGCACGAGCCACATTTGACTTGCTCTCCGAATCCATTGGTGGACATTTGGGCCATGTCCACATCTTACTTGCTGCTCTGCACAGTCAAGTTTCAATGTTGCCAAAAAAAACCCCACATTCCCTTATACTCAAGCCTGTTCTGCACTCCTTCTGGGAACATACCAGAGTGTGCCAGTCTGTAAGCCCGGGATTTATGCCCAGCTCTCTAGAATGCTGCACCGACTTACCTGGAAAGTGTCTAACCATTTTCTACTGTTTCAGTGTAAGCTGCTGACCTCCTTTGCTAAAGAAAGTCTCCCTGAGTGCCCCCCAGATAGCCTCCGGGACCCTTCCTGTTTCCCAGCACTAGTCACAGTCCCCCGGTGAAGAAGCTGCTGCTGCTGATAATGATGATAATTATTATTATCATTATTATTATTATTTTGGTTGATTGGTTGGATTTTTTTGTTGTTGTTTCTTTATTTTCTGCCTAAGTTCCCTGGGAGCTTGTGACAAAAGTGACGAGTTTGCCACCACAGCTGCGGTCCAAGTTCGAAACATGTTTTCTGAATCGATGCGGTAGTCAAATAGTCAAATGTCAATGCCCTTTGCCTCTGGGGCTGACAGAAACTAATGTCAATAAGCTACTGTATGTGAGACCCCACTCTACAAAGCGGGGAATATTTAGGATTCTTGACTGCCTGCAGCGGAGGTGAGCGGCGCACTTTTAAACTTTGTTGGGAACGGCTGTGTCTGGGTGAAAGGAGGGAACGAGCGTTTAGTTTTCAAGTGGGGGTTGGAAGGCAGGGAGCGTGGCAACCAGCCAGATGGCCTTGGAGCAGCCGCCTCCAGCCTCCAGTGATCTTTGTTTCCGAGACACGGAGAACTGCAAAGCACAATGTGATAAGGGTCACACAAGACAAGGTCCACACCATGAGGAGGAACCCACCGGCCCACAACCACCCACCAACCTTTTGTAAAAGCCGCCTCAAATCAGCCAAGGGACAAGAAGGGTTTGGGACAAGAATCTCCCTTTCTTCCCTCCCTGAGCCGGTCTATCAGCATGTCCACTGGGCTGACCTGGTCAGCTAATGGCTGGTGTTAGCTTTAGAGACCTGAGAGCAGAAGTTACAGCACCTGTCAGTCTGTGCCCTTTGCCGAAGGTGAGGCTCTGAGGATCCTAAAAGGGGGCCTTCCAGTGAGGTCCAGAGCTGGTGGGAGGCTAGACCCAAGAGGGCAGAGGTGTCCTTCCCTGAAGCCTTGGAGTCCACACCGGTCACTCCTCAGCCAGACTTTTAATGGCTGTTTACAAAATCTCAGTGGCTAAAGACAGCACAAATCTCAGGTTCAGTTCCCCCTCACCGCCCCGCCCCCCGCCCCGTGGAGCTTTTCTTTATCTGACAAGAGTCTGGGGGAAATAACACTTGCAGATTATTGTTATTTTTAACTGCAAGAAAGTGTTCAACTGCCGCGAAAACGATGATCCATGCCTAGGTGCCCCCTGCGCTCTAAGATCAATTGTCTTGGTTTCTCTATCGAGTTTAACGTAAAAAGTTAAAAGTAAAGTGACCGAGGGCCAGTCCCTTCCGGCTGCGTAGGTGGAAGGAGTTTGAAGTTTCTGCTTGCGGATTGGCCGGCGTGGGGCACGTCTCATAAGGAACACAAGATTTTTCTCCTGGAAGTGAGAAACCTGCAGACTCCAGAGTTCCAGGTCCCCCGAGTTGGCTGGTGGAGGGTGAGGGTCACTCCCCCGCCACCCCACCCCACCCCCGTTTCCCCGCACCCTTCCCTAGCTCCTGGTCCCTTGTCTGGGAAGGAAGGACCCTGTGAGGAGACTCCTCCACCTCCCCGCACCCACACAGCCTAAGTCAGCGTGGCGCAAGCGCCGGGCTCCGCGTACCTGTCACGCAGGTGGCCACAGCGCAGCCCCATGGCCGTGCACTCGGCCTCGCACACCGACACCCCCTTGCAGGACTTGATCGGGTAGATCCAGAGCTGGGACACGGTCCCCACCTGCCGCAGCCGCTGGCGCGCCCGGGGACGCGTGATACACCAGGCCACGATCCCCAGCGCCGCCACCGCAGCCAGTCCTAGCGCGGGGACCCGGGTCAGAATCCAGGAGCCAGAGGCATCCATGGCCGGAGCGGGCCGGGCGGGCGCTGATACACCAGCTGGACTAAATGCGACTGTCCCTGGTGGCCTGGGCCTGGGCCTGAGCCCAAGGGCCCGTAGCTCCTGACCCTTCCCCGCCAATCCAAGCTGAGCATCTTCACTCGGCCTGGGCGGGAGGTGGTGGCTCAGCTGTGGAGGTTCTCACCCTTTGTCCCCACCTCCCTCCTGCCCTCTCTCCCTCCCTCCTTTCTCCCCCCATTCACTCACCCCGACCCTCCCCCTATGATCAATCAATGTAGGAAAACAGCTTATTTACGCGTTTGTAGGGTTGTTTATTTGACCTAAAACACACAACGTTTGCCTAAACACGGTGTGATTTTGAAATTAGAAATCAGGCTGCTGGGCAGCCGCCCCTCTGGGGACTGCCGGAAGCAAGCAGTTTGGCAGCAGAAGAGCTTCCAGCCAGCTGGGATCTGAAGGTGGAAAGATCTGACTAGGCCCTGAGGCTCTCCAGGGCCGGGCCAGGTCTGCTTCTCCACACCTGGTGCCTCAGCTATCTGCACAGCCTGAGACCAGAACTCGCCCTTAGACAAGCCCCCAGGCTCTTTCCCTGCAGGTCCTGCAAGGTGAGCTCTGACACTTGTCACTGTCTTAAACAACAAAGCCAAAGCCAACAAGGTACCTTAGGCACCTCAGGCTCCTGTTTGAAGTGTCAAGTTGTTAAAATGTCAAGTCTTTATTCAAGACTATTCTAATGGTGAGAAAGCTATTTCTCTACTACACAGGGCAGGGTGATTGGACTTTGTACTGGAGCAAGGAATTTGACAGCGGTGGTGGGCAGGGAAGCGTGTGAGTGGCTGCCAGCCGCAAGGCAGGAATGAAGATTTCTCTGAAGAGAAGCTTTTGCCCTGACTCTGGCTATCGGACTATTGAAACAGTGGACCCCAAGAAACTGGAACACCCCCCCCTCCTTTCCCCACCCCAAGTCTCCGACTGAGAGAAGGAAAAGGCTAGAAGCCTAATGCCAGCCAGACGGGAGTCTGTCTCCCAGGAAGAGATTTCACAGGGTTCTGAGGACCTCAGGGTGTGGTCGAGTTGGGGTTCCTGTGAAGACTGTGTGAGTGGCCGTTGTGTGGAGTGGAGAAAGCAGAATGCTAGCAAGCACTCTTTCTCCTGACTTGAAATCCTCATGATCTCTCAACAATGATGGACACTCCTGCCTCAGCTGGCAGCTCACTTGGGGGCCTTCTGGTACTCAGTATCTGTCCTATGACAGTAGGTGTCCCTGCCATACACCCAATGCTTTTTCTTGCCCATGGCCCAGCTTCTGCCACTCCTCACTCCCACAACACCCAGAGATGATCAGAGTTCTGAAGTCACTGCACTCAGCTGGCTGGTCATCTTGCTTCCCAGGGTTTGGGCTGTTTATTGCGGCTGGACGTGAAAGTCACCTTTTAGCTCTCATGTCCCCAGCTGGTGACACTATCTGGGGAGGCTGACGTATGTTTAAGAGGTGCAGCCTAGCTGAGGAGAAAGTCTCTTGGGGGTTTCCTGCACCGGGACCCTTCCTGCCCATCTTCTTCCTATGCTTATCAAGTAAAGAATGCCCCCTCTGCCACATGTCCCCACAGGTGGTACTCCGCCCACCACAGATGGAACCATTGGAACCACGGGACAAATGAGTCCTCCTCCAAGTTGTTCTCTTGGGGATTGTTGTCACAGAGAAGTAGAACCGGCAGAGCAGTGACGGGTGCCACTGGGGACCAGGCAAGGCTCGAACTCTCTATGGAAAGGCATCTCGAAGGCCCCGAAAGCTGAGTGTATTTATCATCCTTTCTATTTCTCTTTGGAAACGTAAAGGGGGAAATGGCTTAAAATTTAATGGCTGACTTTAAACTGAGTATGACTTTAAAAAAAAAATTACCATTTCCAAAATGTACCCAAGATACAGCTTGCCTATCACTTTTACCTCACAGCCGGAGGGGTTGAACTCAGGCCCAGAATCCAGCAAAGGCAAAGGCAGTATTAACAGCCTGGGAGTCCAGCTCCCAGAACTGCTACCCAAGATTACTCAGAGAAAAATTTCTCAAGAGCAGGGATAGAAAGACTTCCTTTCTATAATAATTCACATACGATTTGAGGGTAATTCTCTTTTACTTCATCTTGAAAAAAAAATCTTCTGACAATCTCTGTCTCTACATAGCTACATCTCTATACCTACAGCTGTATCTCTTGTAACATACATTTCACTTACCCACAGCTCTCTCCTACACAGCTCTCTTCTATACATGCTTCTCTCTACCCAGCTACATTCCTTCATCCATAACTTGCATTTCTCTTCTACATTTCTCATTCCCTCACTCATTCTCTCTCCTCTACACACACATTTCTGCCCTACACACATCTTTCTCCTGCACAGCCATATATTTCTATATACAGTTATATGTCTCCACACATTCTCCACACACACCTCTCTTCTGCATGATGCTACATCTCCCTTTCAGCACAGCCACACATACACTTACACACACTCACACACTTTCTCCCTTTCAGCATACTCTCTGGACAGCTATACATTACATTTTAGGGTCCGACCCATTCTCATAACACATGATAAGTCACATAGTTTTTCTTGAGCTAGGAAGGTCATGCTGACCAGCCAGTGAGTAATGCTTGGCCAAGCATGTAGCCTGAGAGGTTGGTTAGTGTTCCCAGACAGAGAATGACATTCAGGACAACAATAACAGTTAGTTGGCTGAAACTTGAGTGGTTGGGGTAGGTGCAGAAAGAGAATTACCGCAGAGTTATGTCTACCAAAGTTGCTTCATGTCTGACCTTGATTTAGCAATAAACACTTGGGAATTTGTCCTTGTTTATTCTCAGCTAGTCTTTGAATTTGTTCTGAAGTCCAAAATTAGCTACCTTTGTGACTGAGAATACTGTTTCTGTCCTGTGTCAGTTATGAAAAACATTCTAGTATTATCAGAATTATACAGCTTAAGCAGAAATCATCTTCCTGACCATCCACAGCTATAAGTGTGCCCAAAAGATACAAAACACACTACTAATGGGCTGTGGAAAGAAACCCACAACTGTTCTTTTTAGGGAGGTAAGTGGTGGCACATGAGAAAGTTACAGACAGAAAACAATTGGTTTCCACAGCCAGTGACCCCACGGACTTTGCCTAGTGGGGCTCCCCATCAGAGAGTTATTAGTCTGGTGTGTTGACCTGTTAAATACTAATTGTAACCTTCTATGTGCTCCCACAGCCTCATGCACAGAAAGAAGCAACAGCTGTCCCCTGTTGACTATTAGATGTCTCTTGAAGTCATCAGCCATAATGCCTTAGAGCCTACAACCTTCCTAATGCTGTAGCCTTTAATACAGATCCTCATGTTGTGGTGACCCCCAACCATAAAACTATTTTCATTGCCACTTCATAACTGTAATTTTGCTCCTGTTATGAATCATAATGTAAATATCTGATATTCAGGATATCTGATATGCGACCCCTGTGAAAGGGTCGTTTGACCTCTCAAAGGGTTACAACTCACAGGTTGAGAACCACTGGCTTAGACAGCATGATCATGTAGTTCAAGGTGCCCTGTACACACCAGTGGCAAGAGGTAATGTTTGGAACCAGGGAAGATGTGTGACAATGATTCTGTAAGATGAAAAGAAACCCAGAAGCAAATGTCACAGATGCAGTAGGAAGAGAGTCACACTTACCAGTGACAAAGAAACCACACAATTTTAAGTGGGCTAACTCATTTATATGTTACATTACTTTTTACAGCAAGCTAGTTCATCTTTGTTATGAAAAATAGATATGAACATTAAAAAATGTGTTCATGGTTTCTCTCGCTCATTCCTACTTCCGAAGATTCTATGCTTTTAAATTCTATTTTCTTGTAGAATTAGAGAAGTTGACAATTAGAGATAAATTTTATATATGTTAATAGAATCAGAAGGAAAATATAAAGACACTATCTATAAACAAAATAACCCCATGATCTATAAAATCATTTCTACATTTAAGCAGAACCCTGACTCTGTAAGGCAAAGATAGCCATAAATGAAAACTCAGCAGAACTCAACAGCCAGGTCAAGAACAGGCATCTGTGAGCACATAAGATCATGAGGACTAGTTTTCCCATTTCTCGCACACAATATCCCCATTAAAAAGTATAAACCTTAAAAAATGTGGCAGCTTTTAAGTTGACTCCAAACTTTCTTTACTCAGCAATATTAAAGGCAGTAATTAGAAAAGGTGATACTGGGAATAACATTCAGAATCATCATACACACAATTTTATTTATTTTTAAAAGCAGCACTATCTAAAATTTATTCACCCTCACATTCTCAAACCACCTCTGGTACTTTCTCAAATTAACTCAGGGCATCTGAAGCTCTGAAGGAAAAGTGGAGGTTCGTTTTCAGGAAGACGGTCGTGGCTGGCAGTTAGGACTCGCAGGAGTATCTCCTAGGACCTGGAAGCTAAATAAATGATAAGATCTCTATTATTGTGTTACTCAGACTATTGGTCATAAATAACTCAAAAAGGAAGGAAGGGGAGGGGGGAGAGAGATGGGTGGTGGGGGGGACGGGCTGAGCAAACCATGAGGAGCAAACCAGTAAGATGTTTTCCTCCATGGACTCTCCCTCAGTTACTACTTCCATGTTCCTGCCCTGCTTGAGTTTCTGTCCTGACTTCCTTCAGTGATGGACTGTTTGTTACTTTTATTTTTTTAAGATCTATTTGTTTATTTACTTATTATGTATACAGTGTTCTGTCTGCATGTACCTCTGCCCGCCAGAAGAGGGCACCAGATCTCATTACAGATGGTTGTGAGCCACCATGTGGTTGCCGGGAATTGAACTCAGGATCTCTGGAAGAACAATCAGTGCTTTTAACCTCTGAGCCATCTCTTCTCACACCCTGTTTGTTACTTTCAAGTGTAAGCAAAATAAATCCTTGCCTAAGTTGTTTTTGATCATGGTGTTTATCACAACAATAGAAACCCAACTAAGATACCCAGTCTGGTGGTCTGAATAAGAATGTCCCCATAGGGTTCATAGATTAGTCACTAGGGAGTGGAACTGTTTAAAAGGGTTAGAGGTGTGGCCTTGTTGGAGGAAGTGTCAGTAGGGTGGGCTTTGGGGTTTCCAAAGACCACACCAGGCCCTTTCTCTGCTGGTAGGTCAGAATGTAGGTCTCAGCTACTTCTCTAGCGCCGTATCTGCCTGGCACCATGCCCGCGGCCATGATAACAATGGACTAAGCCTCTGAGACTGTAAGCCAGCCCCAAACCAAAGGCTTTCTTTTATAAGAGTTGCCTTGGTCACGCTGTCTCTTCACAGCAGTAGGACCGTGACATTGACACCATGCCTGCTCCCTGAAGAGATATTTGTCTCAAAAGAGAAGTTTGGCCCTCTCCGCCTGTCTTCCTGTCTCACCATGTGAGCTCTCTGCACCATGATACCATCAACCACACTGTGACACAGTCAAGGGAGCCTTACCAGAGACCAAACCGAGGGGACCGCCTAACCTTGGACTTTCGGCCTTGTGAACCAATGAGCTAATTAAACCTCTCTTCACGATGGCGTGTTCAGCCTTAAGTATTTTGTTAGAGCAACAGGAAATGACTAATGCAGCATGACATGTAGCGAGTACAAAGCGAAAACAACTCTTTTACAAATAATTTGTCAAGATGCTAAAAAAATATATGCCATGGTCAATAATTCTACTTTTATAAATATAAGTTGTAGAAAATCCTCTAGTTCTGAAATGCTCTGGCATACAGAGTGATCCATTATATTGTTATTTATAACATAGTTGGATATAATACAAGCAGCAAATACTGTAAAAATGTTTAAAGAGTATCATTCATTTAAATAGTATATTATTAAGCTATCAAAATTAAATTTGCATATAGTGGTGGCCTATGAAATACATATATCACAAATAAATAGAACAAACAAAACTTCTACCTGCATAAAATGTGTAAGTAGGTGATTTCTATCTTTCTAATTCTCTAGCCTTTCCTGAACTCGCCATGGTTAACATGTATTGCCATTATAACAGAATACAAACTTTTGTGTGTTTAAATTTTAAGTAAGCAACACATGGTAGCACATGCCAGTCACCTCAGCAATCAGGAGGCTGAGGCAGGGGTGGGGATTGTAAGTTTGAGGCCTGCCTGGGCAACACAAAAAACCCTGTGTGCAGCCCCCTCCCCTCAGTTTTTAAGTAAATAAATAGGAACTAACTTTGGTGTCTGTCCCTCCAAAGCGGACCTTCCAGCTTCCATACCGTGGGCCCCTGGAGAACCCCCTGATCCTTCTTACCTCCCTGTAGCAGAAATCTTAAAAAGTTCTTATTAATAAAATCAAACCTGAAGCCAGTTATTAGGATGAATGCTGGAAGATCAGAGAAGCAGAACAAGCCACAGCTTCCTCACCTCGCCAGTTCCTCAGCTGATCCTGTTTCCTCAGACTGGAAGCCTCTGAGTCCTCATCCAGAATGAATCTCAGCTGAACTGCTGCTCCAAAGCCTGAAAGCTTAACCAGCCAAAAGCTTCTAGTTTCTGGTCCTCACGCCTTATATATCTTTCTGTTTTTGCCATCACTCCCTGGGATTAAAGACTCACTTCTTGGGATTAAAGGCATGTGTCACCATGCCTGGCTGTTTCCAGTGTGGCCTTGAACTCACAGAGATCCAGAGGGATTTCTGTCTCTGGAATGCTAGGATTAAAGGTGTGAGTGCCACCATTTTCTAGCCTCTGTATCTAGTGGCTGTCTGTTCTCTGACTCCAGATAAATTTATTAGGGTGCACAATATTTTGGGGAACACAATACCACCACACCTTCCTCAGCAAGGTCAGGCTGCACTTTGTTCTCAGACTTTGCTCCATCACCCCACTAGAAAAGCTGTCTGTTTCCCTGAGCCCCTGAAGGCCACACAATGCCTGGGCAGAGTTACTTCTTCACACATAAAATACAACAGGACGCTGGGTGAGGACCGTGCCTCTTGGCTGTGTCTTCTCAGCTCCATGATGCCAGGTCAGTCGGCCCACAGGAGCCCGGCCTGCTTATCTTTTAAGTGTCTACTATCATTTCCCCCTCACAGGCCCTATCGGGGTGGCGAGAGACTGTCTTAGGGTCTTTAAAACTCCAGGCCTCCTGGACAGCTGAGCAAACAGAAGTTGCCAGAGGGCTGTTAGGTTTGTCTGCTGCAGCATCTGAATAGGTAGGTCTGTCACCAAGCGACCCGGGGGACTTCTAAAGATCCTCAGAAGTCACAGAGCTCAGGCACTGACCCCAGGCGCAGTCACCCACAGCTGGAACAGCAGGACCAGGTCCTATCAGATCTGCCATTTCCTCTCTAGTATCTTCTATATTCCATCAAATCCAAGACAGATCAATTATAAGATACACCAATTTCGAATCACAAGGATTTTATTTAACTTTTTTTCCCCCTTTTTTGGAAACATGGTCTTATTATGTAGCACCGGCTGTCCTAGAACTCACTATATAGACCAGGCTGGCCTCAAACAAAGATCCACCTGTCTCTGCCTCCCAAGTTCTAGGACTAAAAGCATGAGCTATCACATCTGGCTATTTTAAAATGTTTTATATTGCATTTATTGATTTGCGGGGGGGGGGGGGGGGGGGGGGGGCATGACATGCATGTGGAGGTCAAAGGGCAACTTGGGAGAACCGGTTCTCTCCTTCCACCATGTGGGTCTAGGGAACTGAACTAAGGATTTCAGACCTGGTGGCAAGCACATTTCCCCACTGAGCCACCTCTGACGCTCTCACAGGGATTTTTACAAAATGCATGGGGTCAGACATAGTGGCCTTTAATCCCAGCACTCAGGAGGCAGAGGCAGGTGGATCTCTGAGTTCGAGGCCAGCCTGGTAAAGCTTTCTCCATCTTGTCTCAGCTAAGCCATCTTTGGTTTCTACCTCCTGCCCTGAAAAGTCCTGTGGGAAAGCTCCCAACCCTGTTCTAGAAACTCAGGGTCAAAACGCCCCAGCTAACTGCATATTCCTGGCTCTTGTTAGATCACTTGCTTGCTCCCCTTGCAACTGCCAACCCGGATGTAGCTTTTCTCTGTTCTTTGTCTCGAAAAACTCCTTGTAATATGCATTCGGGGCTGCTCTGTGAGAAGGGTGTCTCTCCAGGCAATCGCAGGCTGGCTTAATAGAGACTCTGATTCCATCTTTGGTAATGCCACGTGGTCTCTGGGTTTTTACCCCATAATAGTAGTCAAAAGACATTGATTTCCTTTTTTCATTTCCTTTTTCACATTTCTACCACAGTGTCCCTTAAAGCTGTGCCACAGTTCAAAAGGGGGGAAAAATCACACCTAATATGCATTGAGTACCTTTACGTTTATATTATATTCTGATATAATGAATTAATACCAAAAAAACTTTTATTAAATGTTTTGGTGGGGACAACCCTTATCTTCTATTTGCAGTCCATTGAGAATCAGAACTAAAGATAAACCCCAATGCAGCTGTTGTTACACTTAGTCTACATGAACCACTCGGGCACTTTGTCCTTAGGATGGTGTGCTGGTGTGAAAGAAAATGCCCCCCATAGGGAGAGGCACTATTTGGAGGTATGGCTTTGTTGGAACAGGTATGGCCTTGTTGGAGGAGGTGTGTCACTGTGGAGTGGGATGGGTCTTTAAGGTCTCCTAAGCTCAAGCTATGCCCAGTATGGAATACAAGCTCCTTCTGCTGCCTGAGGATCAAGATATAGAACTCTCAATTCCTTCTCCAACACCACGTCTGCCTGGACACTGCCATGTCCTGCCAGATGATAATGGACTGAACCTCTGAAACTGTAAGCCAGCTCCAATTAAATGGTTTCCTTAATAAGAGTTGTGGTGGTCATGGTGTCTCTTCACAGCAATGAAAACCCTAAGACAGATGGTCAGTCACATGGGCAGGTGGCAAGGCTGCAGAGGGGTGACCATATGTGAGAATCCCAGGGAAGAATTAGAGAAAAGTCTCAGTCAAAGGTTTTGGCCATGAGGTGACTTTAAGGACTAGAAAATAGGGGCTGAGGGTTTAAGAGCACTGGCTGCTCTTACAAAGGACCTAGGTATGGCTCCCAGAGTCCACATGGCAGCTTAGAGCCACCTGTAACTCCAGTTCCACAGAATCCAGCACCCTCTTCTGGCCTCTGAGGTACTACGTGTATACAGTGCACAAAACATACAGGCCTGCAGGCAAAGCACTCTAACACATAAACTGAAAATCAGTAAATTTTTTTTTTTTTTGGTTTTTTTTTTTTTTTTTTTTTTTTTTGGTTTTTCGAGACAGGGTTTCTCTGTGTAGCTTTGCGCCTTTCCTGGAACTCACTTGGTAGTCCAGGCTGGCCTCGAACTCACAGAGATCCGCCTGGCTCTGCCTCCCGAGTGCTGGGATTAAAGGCGTGAGCCACCACCGCCCGGCTTTTTTTTTGGTTTTTTGAGACAGGGTTTCTCTGTGTAGCTTTGGTGCCTGTCCTGGATCTCGCTTTGTAGACCAGGCTGACCTCGAACTCACAGATCCGCCTGGCTCTGTCTCCTGAATGCTGGGATTAAAGGCGTGCACCACCACTGCCCGGCTAAAAATCAGTAAATCTTAAAAGAAAAAGAAGAACAGTGCTTTGGGGAGGTTGGGTAACAGGTTTTGCAAGGGGAGCCATTTAGAACCTTCAAGGGGAGGTCTTCCAATGACTCCTCATTCCTGTAACTAAGGGTTCAACTTGTGTCTGTAGGATTCAGAGCTCAAGCTGACCTAATGCAATCAGTGTGAGAATATCATTTTCTATCTCAGCCTCGAACTCACAGAGATCCACCTGGCTCTGCCTCCCGAGTGCTGGAATTAAAGGTGTTTGCCACCACCACCTGGCTGACTTTTTTCTTTAAGTTACATTTAAGAAATGTCTTATAAAACACTAGCTTTCAATATTTCTCCCTTTTCTCAGGCAGAAAACAACAACAATAATAAGACACCTAACCCCAGAGGATCATGTCCCTTCATTCCTTAGTCCTTTTTTGTTGTCAAAGAATCTTTGTTTTTTTTTTTTTTTTTTTTTTTTTTTTTTTTTTTTTTTTTTTTTTGGTTTTTCGAGACAGGGTTTCTCTGTGTAGTTTTGCGCCTTTCCTGGAACTCACTTGGTAGTCCAGGCTGGCCTCGAACTCACAGAGATCCACCTGGCTCTGCCTCCCGAGTGCTGGGATTAAAGGCGTGCGCCACCACCGCCCGGCAGCGAATCTTTGTTTTTACAAGACAGAATTTTTCTGTGTAGCCCTGGCTGTCCTGGAACTCACTTGGTAGACCAGGCTGGCCTTGAACTCAAAGAGATCCACCTGCCTCTGTCTCCCAAATGCTGCGATTAAAGGCATGTGCCACCGCCAACCAGAAAAATATTTTTAAAAATTTTTAAGGTATCAGAAAACAAGAAAATGTGGTTGTATTGTCAAATGTGGTTCTAGAAGCAAAATGAAACTCTTACCATGTCACCCGACTGGGTCCACTAATCCACCATCTGATACACAGGGTCGCCGACTCTCAGGTTTCCAATTCTTTCCACTGAGAAATACATCCCAAAAAGTGGGGCCGTCTGGTACAAACTCTTCACAGAAGGGTCACACTGGCGGTAGCTGGAAGAAGTCAGAACCCATCATCAGGTCCCAAAAGGAAACAGCAGTCTAGTGTTTTCTACAGAACTTAGATGTTTGCTCCTTAGGCTAAGTATGGGTCAACAAGAGGCCCCTTCTAAAGGTGGGCGGGGATGGCTGTAAGCAAGTAGTCAAATAATCATGGGTTTTCTAAAGCCAGGTGTGATCCCAGCATTTGGGAGGCAAAGGCAGGTGGATCTCTGAGTTCGAGGCCAGCCTGATCTACAAAGTGAGTCCTAGGACAGCCAGGGCTACAGAAACCCTGTCTCTAAAAAAACCAAAATAATAATAGTTACAATATTAATAACAGTAAGTGTGGGTTCGTATAAGTATTATACAAATACTTTATTACACAGGTACCTTGGACTCACAACTTATGGGAAAAAATGCTCATGAACTCTCCAAGTGGAACCACCCCTCACCCACTGTGTTGAATAGCTTTCATTGTCAATGACACAACCTAGAACCACCTGAGAAGGGAGTCTCAATGAGAGACTGCACTGGGTTGGACTGCGGGCATGTCTTAATTAAGCTACCAGCCCACTGTGGGCGGCACCATTCCCTAGGCAGGGGCTCCTGAACCGTCTAACAGTGGAGAAGTCAAGCTGAGCGCAGGCAAGCAACCGTCTATGGGTGGGATGGGACTGTTTGTAAGTCCCTGCCTTAACTTCCCCGCAGTGATGCACTGTATCCTGGAACTGTGAGCTAAACTAAACCTCTTTCCCCCTTAAGTTGCTTTTGTCAGGTTCTTTGCCTCAGCGACGGAATGAGAACACTTGCCAGAGCTCTGGCTTAAGGCATCTACCCCCCTGTGCTCCCAGCTTCTCCAACATGAAGGCTCAAAACTGGAGTTCCCCTGGAAAAGAACAGTAAAGCGGAGATGCCACTGGCCAATGGGGCTGCCCATGAAGTCTAAGACCTGGCTGAAGAAAGTTACCTTCACTGTAAATCCCAGGGGGTCCTGAGACAACCTCTAAACCTGTTAGAAACAAACAGCAGAACAGAGGAAGGGCAGACAAAACACGGCAAGCCCCCAAGTGTTAACTAAGGGGTTTCGTCCTTTCTCTTTTTTGCAGTGTTTGAGATGGAACCCAGGGCCTCTTGAATTACTAGAAATTGATGAGAGGGGCTGGGTGATGCCTCAGTTGGTAAAATGCCTGATGTGCAGGAATGAGGACCTGGGTTCAGATCTCCAGCAGCCAGAAAAAGCCCAGTGGCACCTGCCGAGAATCCCGGCACAGGGAAGGCAGAGACAGGTGGTGCCTGGAGCTCACTGGCAAGTTCCCGGCTGGTGAGTGACCTTGTCTCAGACATAAAGTGAAGTGCATCCTGGGTTGGCTTAGCCACGGCAACTGTGTGTCTTCATCTCCTTGCTGCTGTCGGCCCGGGCCCAGCCACTCAGCGCCACTCTGTGTCCCGGCAGGAAGAGGCTTACACAGCCAGTCTCTGGCACTGGCACAGGTGCCACTGGGGGTCACACATTTTTCCTGCCAGTATAGTGACACACTTCTTTGACATTAGAGGTATTCAAGGATTGAGTTCTATGTCTTAGAACTCCAGGACTGGCCCAGGAAACTCTCAGTCCCCTAGCATTATCTAAAGGCCCGGGCTCAGACAGTTTGGACCAAGTCGAGACTATTGTGGCCATGGAATATGAATTTAAGTTTGAAATTCCAGATTCCAGAGAAAAGTTAATGTGTCCATAAGGAATTGTGCATGGCACTTCAGATAAGAGGGCTGCATAGGAATGAAGTATGGGAGACCTTTCCTCACCGAGGGGACTCAGAGCACACTGGCTGGAGTGTCTAGGAGTTCTGCCCTTTGGAATAAATTCTCGGGCTGGAGAGATAGTTCAGTAGTTAAGAGCATTGACTACTCTTCCAGAGGACCCGGGTTCAATTCTGAGCACCCACATGGCAGCTCACAACTCTCTGTAACTCCAAGATCTGACACCCTGACGGACATACATGCAGGCAGAACACCAATGCAAACATCATTTTAAAAAATTATCACAAAAAGAAAAGAAAAGAAATCTAGGGGCTGGAGAGATGGCTCAATGGTTAAGAGCACTGGTTGCTCTTCCAGAGGATATGGGTTCAATTCCCAGCACCCACATGGTAGTTCACAACTGTCTGTAACTCCAGCTCCTGGGGATCCAACACCTTCACACAGACACACATGCAGGCAAAACATCAAATCAATAAAGTAAAATAAGAATAAATAAATAAATAGATAAATAAATAAACATTTTTAAAAGAAGAAAAGAAATCTACTATAAAACAAACCCAAGGGTTGGAGAGATGGCTCAGCAGTTAAGAGCACTGGCTGCTCTTCCAGAGGTCCTGAAGTCAATTCCCAGCAACCACATGGTGGCTCACAACCATCTATAATGAGATCTGGTACCCTCTTATAGCCTGCAGGCACACATGCAGGCAGAACACTGTATACATAATAATAAACAAATAAATATATTTTTTTAAAGCCAAAAAGAGTGAAGTGACTGAGGAAGTCATCCAGTGTCAACCTCTGGCCTACACACACACACACACACACACACACACACACACACACACACACACAAACACACAAAAGAACTTGATGAGAGATTAAAGTTTCAAAATGGAATATTGTGCAACTAAAAATTACCAGAAAATTAAAGAAACAAAGAGAGGAAGAAGTTCACATGCATTGAAGGAGTGATACAAATCACAGGGGCGCCTGGGAGCCGGGACACAAGCACCTGGTGCATGGGCAGTTCGGGCACAGGTGACATTAATACAGGGCACACACACACACACACACACACACACACACACACACACACACACACACACACCAGCGTCCTACCTCTTCAGGGTTTCCAGTGGCTCCTTCCTGTCTATGATCCCAGTGTCTGGGTCCACTGTAGTCAAAATGCACCTGCCAAAGACCCACGCTTAGATGATGGCCGCAAACCACAGTGCACTCCACACCCCAGAGGCCACGTCCAAGCCCAATCTTTACCTGGGGCAGCTCAACACCCTTTTCATCTCTACATCACCAATTAGGAGTTCACCCCAAGTATCCTAGGAGAAAAGGGAGAGGTGTCTTTTAGAGTCAGGCTTCCTTCATCTTGGTCAGGTACTAGGTATGACATCAATGGAAGGAGGGAGACACAGAAGGACACAAAAAACTCTAGAAAGCACCCAAGAGAGGCAGTGCACTGTCAGGTTCAGGACATGATTCACCTTCAAAGAAAATTCTTTTACAGCACTGAGAATGGAACCCAACACCCGTGCACAGGAGCCAAGCCCTCGACCACTGCACCGCCTCCCAGGCCCAGGCATCGTTCTCTTGACTCACAATCAATCACTGAATCTGCCAATTCAGCAAGAACAGGCCTTAAAAGCGTGCAGTTCCCAGCAGACTCATCAGACTGCTTCAGTGGCAATCAATGAGAAACCCACAGCTTCTGAAACAAGCCAACTGTCACGGATGGTGTGGCTCAGGGTTCTCAACCTGTGGGTCACAACCCCTTTGGCAAACCTCTATCCCTAAAAATATTTACATTATGATTCATAACAGTAGTAAAAGTACAGTTATGAAATAGCACCGAAACAATTTTATGATTGGGAGTCACCACAACATGAGTGTCACAGCATCAGGAAGCTTGAGAACCACTGGTTTAGCTGTCGCAGAGGCCAGTCAGAGTCTGAGGGCTCGCTGTTGAGTGAGACATCACGTGAGTGTGGCCAACCAGGATTCCTTCACTTGTCCTTCCCACAGGATGCATTGTGAACACGGGACAGCACTCCATGGCTACTGACTGCCTGGCCTAAACACTGGTCTTCAATTGGTCCTCATGATGTCAAGGGAGGTGCTAAGATGATTCCCATTTTCCCCAAGAGACAGATATGCAGAACACCGTAAAATGTTCTTAAGTCACACCAGGAGGAAGCAGGACGGCTAGGTTTGAAATCTTTTACTGTGAAGGTAAGGCTTTGCATCCCCCCACATATGTGACATATACACATAAACACACAGCTATGTGTACAAACATACACTTATATACACCTATACACTCCAATACATATAGACACAAATGCACAAATTATGTATACAGATACATACACATGCACACTTACATGTACATACACACCAATACACATACAAACACATGCACACAAATGTGCATACACATAAATCCAAATATAGATATACATACATATATACACACATTTAAATGCACACATATGCAAACATTATATACATTTATATACAAGCACACATGCACTGGGGCTGGAGAGATGGCCCAGTGGTTAAGAGCAATGGCTGCTTTTGCAGAGGACCTGGGTTCACTTCCCAGAACTCACATTGACAGCTCACAACTCCAGTCAGGGAATTTGATGCCCTCTTCTGGCCTCCACAGGCACTGCATATACATGGCGCACATATACTCACACAGGTTCATACATACACAAAAAAGCAAAAGTAACTTTTTAAAAAAGAAACACATGCTGGGTGGTGGTGATGCACATCTTCAATCCCAGCACTCAGGAGGCAGAGATAGGAGGAGCTTTGTGAGTTCAAGGCCAGCCTGGTTCACAGAGGGAGTTACAGGACAGGCTCCAAAGATACAGAGAAACTCTGTCTTGAAAACCAAAAAAAAAAAAAAGAAAAAAAAAGAAAGAAACACATGCACAAAACATAAACACACATATATGTGCACACACATAAAGCACACTGTGTCATAACACTGCATATGGTTTACAGACACACAGTCATTTGTACACATTTCAATATCCTTTGGTGTCCAAAAGAGGATTGCTTCCAGCACCCTCTTCAGAATCCCAAATCCTCAAGTACTTATCTCGTATATGAAGTAGCCTGGTACTGGGTCTTCATCTAGTCCTGCTTTAAATCATCTCTGGCTCACTTAAGATACCAAATGGAATGTAAGAAAAAAGTAAGTCATAGGTACACTGTTTCACTCAGGAAATAATGACCAAACTGTGCAGTTCAGTACTGATGTTTCCCCCAGCATTTTAAAACATTCTTTTTAAATTTTTTTTAAATTTATTTATATGTGTATGTGTGAGTGTATGTGCATGTGGTGGTGTGGGGGTGGGGAGGTGCCTGCACCTGTTTGCATGCAGAGGCCAGAAGAGAGCTTGGAATCTCTCAGATGGTTACAGGTGTTTGTGAGATGCCTGGCTTGTTACACGGGTACCAGGTCCTTATGATTGCACAACTTTTAACCACTGAGCCCTCTCGCCAGACATTAAATTATGTGTTATCTGCAGCTGGTACAATCTATGAAGGGCTGGCTGTACACATACACCCACACATACACAGATTATGTGGATTACATCCTATAGGAGGCAAAAATGTCTCCTATCCTCTTGGAATTTCTCAGCTAAGTCTGATAATTAACTTGACGTGAAACAGAAATAAAGAGAAAGGCATATGTGTATATGCATATATAATTTAATGTAAATTTCATATGACCCACGCCTTCATAATAAAGAGTCGGTTCAAAGACACAGCTGGAGTTGAATACTAACACACTGCAGGGGACAAAGAGCAGCAGGTTGAGAGACAGAGGCCACATGACTAAACCCAGGAAGATCAGCTTCCCTTGGTGTGTTTATGCAGAGCCCACAGCCCCAGCTTCCTGTCTCTGGTAAGGACACACTAGCCTGGGCTACATGAGAAACAGCCTCAAATATCAGCATGATCCCCTGCATTTGCCTTTTCAAGTATCTTCAACTCAAATGAATCAATATGTCAGAGTATCCTGTTTTGGGGTAGCACATGTAGAGTGTTTTAAATACTATACCTGCACATTTAATATCACACATTCACTTGCTTATATAAATATATATATGTTATAGTCCCTTTTACTAATAAAAAACTAAGGAACCTAGTCCAATGCCCTATGCCTGTAATCCCAGCCCTTGGGAGACAGCAGCACAAGAATCAAGAATCAAGAATTCCATGACTCAAGTCACCCTTGGCTACATAGTGAGTTGAGGCCAGCCCAGGCTACACAAGGCCCTGTCTCAGAAAGAACCTATTCTGAGTTCCTTATCTTGAAGGTTTGTGCCAGTCCTGCTGAAACCCACTGATAAACTGTTAAACTTAGGTTTAACAGTACAATCCTTTGTCTAGGTCTCTAGGAAGAAATGGGGAAGGGGGCATTTGAGGATGGGGTCTTAATACATGTCCCATAAACCAACAACAGCATCTACAACAGTGGTTCTCAACCTTCCTAATGCTGTGACCCTTTAATACAGTTCCTCATGTTGTGGTGACCCCCAACATAAAATTATTTCATTGCGCCGGGCGGTGGTGGCGCACGCCTTTAATCCCAGCACTCGGGAGGCAGAGCCAGGCGGATCTCTGTGAGTTCGAGGCCAGCCTGGGCTACCAAGTGAGTTCCAGGAAAGGCGCAAAGCTACACAGAGAAACCCTGTCTCGAAAAACCAAAAAAAAAAAAAAAAAAAAAAATTATTTCATTGCTACTTCATAACTGTGATTTTGCTAGTTATGAATTGTAACAGAAATACCTAATGCACAGGATATCTGATAAGCAGCCCCCAAAGGGTCAAGACCACTGATCTACACTCAGATGCAAAGAATGTTCCTTGCAAACTGACCTCAACCAGGTGAGGTTTCTGAAGATCCTGAGTCTAACTGGTGTGCAGAGAAGTCGGGAAAAGAGTCCCTCCCGGCTTAGCTGGTGGCTTTGACTCTCTCAGGGCCTGAGAGGGACCTAAGTTTCTGCAGAAGGCAGAGCAAGGGCAGGGACGGGCACTGTCCAGTCTTCCCTCCTGCAACTGGCTATGACATCACGATCCACTCCATATGCAAAGGCAACCTCGCTCCTCTTCGGGGCCTACAGAAATGGTTTATCATAGCACAATTGGTGGCCCAGTACCAAAGGGGTCTTCAAAGTCAGACATCTCCCATCCAGGATGACCACAGCTACAGTATGGAGGTGACCACAGATGCCCTGTGCCCCTCCACCAAGAAACTGCTTCGGGTGGGAATAAACTCCATGTTCCAAGCAATCAGTTGGCCCAGGAGCTAGGCAAGCTTTGTAAAAGCAAAGGTCACACCATGTGACAAATGGAGCTATGATTTACGACACACCCTGTTCAAACAGTGGAACTTCAAAGGAAGCTCATGCCAAACCTACCGCTGGAGGGCAACCAGCACAGCGCCTGTCTGGGGAAGGGAAAGGAGCCCCAGACTGCACGCAGCCAAGGTGTCAGGACTTCTTTCACCACACGAGGGCACAGCAGCTACAGGTATGTGAGCCACCAGCAGCCCGGGGACTCCAAGACCTCTCCATCTTGTACTCAATTCCCTTGTTCCAAGTGACAATGAGTTCAACATTCCAAGCTACTTGTCTGTGAACTTCTGCATCGTGGCTTTAACAGAAAGCCAGGAATCCTGAAAAGTTCGTTTCGGGTCTTAACTAAACAAGACAGATTTAGGTCACCTTCTGTTCCAAAAGTCAGCTGCCGGGCTCATTAGCAGATTGTCTGGCTTCCTGAGCATTGTCGTTAACTCCTCCAAACGCTAACTCTGTGTCTTGACATGTTAATAGCTTCATATTAATGAAGTCATTCACTCTCCACTCTCACTGTCCACATTTTGGCTCAAAAGCACTAATTGCTTTGAAAACAACTAAGCTTAAGTTTAAATGCAATGGTTAATTCAGTTCCTAAAGAAAACAATACATTTTAAATAACTGAAAAAAATAAATTCATAATGGATGAGTTTACTATTCACTAGACATATACAACGCAAAGAAATACACTATCCAGCCAGATTCCAGGGGTCACTGGAAGAGCCTAGTGCGCCCCCTGCTGGCTGAAAAGCCCATCTGCACTCTGACAAAATCAGGCCCCTGGGGATGTCTAGTCAGCGCAAGGAGGAATTTGTGAGTTGGAAGAAATGAGAGGAAAAGAAAGAGAAATGGTCAGAGGAGGGCGTGGGGATACTCTGTGTAATGGACTCCACCCTGTGGACTTAACAATGGGAACTTTATTTATTCGTGTATTTATTTTTACTTTTT